CTCGTCGTCAGAACGTTGTATATACGAGTAAAAAAAAAAAAAAATTAACCGACTTAATGAGCGGGTAACGGCTCATTAATTTAACGCGGCGGGCCTACGTTGGCCGGACCTATTCGTCATGCCGGTGCTAAACGGCCTAAAGACCTAACCGACCACGATACCGATTCCGCGTAGGCGAGAGACGGAATTTGGGGGGGGGGGGGTTTACGATTCGGCTCGGAAGGGTACGCGTGTAAAGTATAATATATTCTGATAATAATATCGAACACACCGAATGGGTGGAGAAAATCCGGCTGCAATAGCGACGAGACGGAGTGGCGTTTCGGTTGGAGCGGCGATGGAAGACGATGGGAAAGGAGCGGGCACGGGTGAGGTCGTCCCCCCTGTGTTTGGCGGAGAGACCATGTGGGTGACGTTCATTAATTTTGCGCATCGACGTTTCGCGGGTCATTTGGCCGTCGTCACCGCTCGCCGCCGGGGCGGTGTGTGACGGCAAAACGGCGGAGGGAACGGACCTCTGCACCGGCCCGATAAAACGCCTGCACGCCTTTGACGTCCCCGGAACTTAACAAGCTTTTAAACGATCCCGTTGCGGACGACACCGCGGTCGTTGCGTTTATCTTGGGCCACGTCATCGCGTTCCCGCCGAGAGATGTTTTATGCGGGTAGCCCACCGGTATAGAGGCGCTACCCTTTTATACGTACGTATAGGTATACTTTGTTATTTTTATTATTATTTTTCTTTACAAATACGCGACCATTGGCGGTTTTGCTCAAGTTTCGGCGTTTACGCGCCACCGTCCGTCCATCCGTGAAATCGTATCTACGCCAACTAAGCACGGCCGTTGTCACTTCAACGGACAATACAACGGCGTCCTATACGTATACGAATGGTGGTGACTCGAACCTCCGATGCTACGGCACGCGGAATAGCTTTATATAATAATATTACAGAGTTTTTTATTGAATCGACAAAACAATCTCAAATACAAACTCATCATGTATATTTCCTGTATACATATTTATTTGTTTGTTTGTTGATATTTTTATAAATATAACAAACGTTTGTAAGAAAATGTAAAATGAAAGATAGGCTGGGACAAAACAATATCGAGTAGACCGTGCAGGCTCTTTTTAATTCTCTGCTGATGTTTATAGGACAAAAAAACATATTTTGCCCCTGTGCGGCAGTTTGGCTTGATGCGGCACTGGCTAGCAGGACAGGCAAATAGTGGAGCAAGTGTAGTAAATCCATAGGTCGAAAGAACTTACTCAGGACTATCTCGATAATATCAATGGCTCCGGACGTATTAGGATCCCGACGGACTGAACTATACTCCAATAGTGGGCGTACAAGAATACAGTTGAGGGATTATATTGAGGTTTTAAATCAGAACTCCTGGGAAGTATGAATAATCAAATCAAGTATCTCGATTTTGTATTGTCAATAAAAAATTTAAAAAATATGTCTGCAATCAAATATATAATATATCAACATCATATTTGATGATTTGATTTTTTAGTTAGACGTAATCTTACAAAATCCATTGGTTTTATAATTTTGAGTTTATTATAGTGTTATATTAATTATACTAGCGCTTCCAAGGAGTTTGCTTTTTAATTATTAATTTTTTTTTTTTGTGCCATTATAACAAATTAAAAATTAAATTCACGGACCACCGTCAAACTCCTTCCATGATTGTTTCTGTGAACAATTATATAAGACAAAAAATTAATGTCATAACTCTTACGACTAATCAAATTTGAATAATATTATGCTTTTTATTAAAAAGTATACTTAAAATAAACAACGTAATAAACGTTAAATTTTGATTATGTTTACGCAAAACAAACATACATTTTTGTTATTTATAATAATATCTACTTATAAAAGTTGTAAGTAGTTTTACTAGAGTAACATTGTAACGAGCCTTAACGCAGACTTCTCTTTTATAGTGTACTCAACTTGTGTTTCTTTAGTGGAACTTAGATTGTATCTTTATTTGTATAATAAATATTTGATAAAATAAATAATTTAACCTCCCATTTTAGCATAACAAAATGTGTATACTTTATAGAACCCTAACCTATTTTATATTCACTTGTGCTTGAAAAAATATAAATGTTTAATTTTGTTTTTATTACATTATTTTTAGAATGCATAATTATTGTTTCTTGTTCACACTTATAATTCTTTGTTTAATTATTTAGATTAACAGATATCTATAAATAGTGTGTATTATTTTTGTTACTTGCTATATTTTTATGCATTTAAAAGGATTTACTTCATAATTAGAATTTAACGTCTATAGTACAGTTGCTTATTATTTAAAATTGAAAATAAAATTCCAATGCAAACTCATTACTATTAGTTTTTGTACAAAAACAATAAACGGTTATTATGGAAAAATGATTATTTTGAAAAAAATAATATTGACAGTGGTAACAATAAAAATATTATTACATGACAATGTTTGTTTATAAAAAAGGAAAACACCAAAACCTAGCATTATTGTCGCGATGAAACTAGTAGTGTTAATAAAAAAAAAAAACGTTATGAATAGTTGCGTAGTCGCGATTACGGCGAAAAATAATAATGATAATGTGTAAGGCTTAAAGATTACATAACGGGCATTTAATGGATGAAATGGATTACAGACATGTAATGTAAACACAAATAAAACGAAAATACTATGAGTTTAACTGTGTTCCACGACACCGACAACGCGTAGAATACCAGCAGTGTTTAGACGATAATTATTGCTATACAGTTATTTTATTGTTTATTACTAGCATATCTTTCTATTACCGCAGCAGAGCGGATAGTTCTAAAGTTCTGTACACTTTATATAAATACATATTCATATATACAGATTATTTTTCTACAAGATAGCTTTTATTATCTTTTATTTAATTGAAGGGCACAGGGGAAAAACGGTAGTAGTCACATTATGAAAATTTTTTTTTTTTCAAATAGTTTTTTTCAACTTATGCCATTAATTTTTTTTATTTATTTCAATATATAGTTTAAATAAATATTTATTATTAGAGTAGCATTTAATGTGTTTTTTTGTTCTTATGTAAGAGGGAGAGGAAATCATGAACTTTGTTTTTGGCATACTCGTACTCTAAAATTTTCATAATGTGACTACTACCGTTTTTCCCCTGTGCCCTTCAATTATATATGAGCGATAAAAAAATAATTTCGAAATTATTAATGAGTATTAATATTTCCATAAATTCTGTCGCATTTTACATGCCGTCGCTTTTAAACGGTTGTTATTGCTGCGTTATTTCTACAAATAATTTACAAAAATTAATACACTTTATTCTCTTTTATTTGTCATATATTATCCGTTTAATAATAAATGTATGATAAAAGTTTCCACGCAGAAGATTCTATTGAACAACGCTATTATATGTATGTGACGTCCAAATTGTAATGTCTATTTTTGCGTTTGAAAATCGTAAATATTTACACACAATAACAACAAGGGACTGCTATCGAAATACGTTTAAATTAAAACTGTAGACACTTGACAATGGTTATTTGTGGAACAACAAAACTAAAACAATACACCAGAGGTATAATCGTTGTTAAAAAATAATATAATCTGCATATTTCATTGTTATCTAACCTTCCCCCCCCAATAAAAATACTACCGCTACTCTATACAATATGACGTATCGACAGACTAACCAGCTATAGAAATATATTGTTTATTTAATTCTGATCGAATGATATAACTCGGTCTAATTATACATGTGGTTTTATTTACACGTAGTACTGGTACTGTATAACTCTAAGCTTATCATGACTTGTTTATCTGTTCAACAAATTTACTAAAATATTGGTTAACGACTACGCTGCCATTTTACGCCGCCGTCAAATAGTGTACAAGTTTAAAATGTATTATTAATGGTCATTTATTAGAATTATTACATTTAGAAATGATATTTATTGCCGGCGCTATGCATAGGCAAAATAGCTACATGCACGCGTGTAATCGCCCTTCTGCTGTTACCATTCATTATTATTATTTTTTATTGCCCTCGTTCACATAAATGTGCGCGGAAACATTTTATTCGCTTGGCTTTACGCTGCATAACCTCGGTATGTGTGTCAATTTTCTTCTTTATTTTATGTGTTATATATTGGTAAAAGAAAAAAAAACCGAAAACATTAAAAAGCGAGTAGTGGTATCGTGGGACTGTCTTTACAGCATTTCTCAATTCGTCAGCCTTTACTTTATCCCCCCCTCCATATATCATGGTATGATAACAATTTGGACCCGGATATCAAATAATAAAACTTAACACATAAATCTCGAATACGGTCGTCGTGGTATAAATGTCTGCACGTTTATAATATGATTCTCCGGGAGTCTGCTGGAGTGTAAATTTACACTTGCATATCAGTACATTGTATTACACTTTAATGGATGAATAAACGATTTTGTCCAATAAAGTGCGCGTTAAAAAATAAAAGAATTAAAAACAGCATTGCATATTAATGCAAATAATTGTTTAATTAATATGATACGAATGCTTAGTATGATAATAGCGATTAATATTAATACCTAATGTTTTGGCAAAATAGTTATGATTGGCTATGAATGAATTGACATTCATGTTATATAGTAGAAAAATATATTGTTGAGATTCTATCTCAACTATATGAACTAGAATTTATCATAACTGGTTTAGCTTCGATTATTAATATCTATAGCGTTATAGAACACACGATTTTCATATATATCAGTTTTTTAAGTTCTGATATTATCATAATATGTTAACAATTAATACTTAAATTAATTATATCACTTTGGGAGGTAGAAAATATTGTTCTTCCTAGACCACGGCAGCTATTGTGGAATTGGAGATTGGTATAAGGCTAAGTTGTTGATTTAGCTTATTGGCGCTGGTTCAGACTATATTGTAAAACAACTTGTTTTAATTTAAAAATCTTATACTTCTATCGCTCGTTTGTTGTTTTACAGGTGTCATAGTTTATGGATCTGACCAAGAGGTAGTGAACTTGATGAAAGCGGTTAGAAGAAATAACGCGACAGGAAACTTCTCGTGGATCGGCTCTGACGGGTGGAGTGCAAGAGACATGGTTTCGGATACAAACGAAGCCGAAGTTGAAGGATGTGTTTCTGTTCAGCCACAAGCAAACCCGGTGATCGGTTTCGAAGAATATTTCTTGGGACTTACAGTGGAAAACAACAAAAGAAATCCTTGGTTTTCAGGTACGTTCATCGATAACCCTCGGCTTCTAACACTTATATACATTTTATAAGTTTGTGTGCTAATTTCGAGGACTTTAATCGAAAAACCATAAAATTCTCGGTTTTGGGTAGTATTTGGTCGATATTACTTGAAGAAATAGCGACTTAACCGACTAGTGACACGAACAGAGTTGTGTCGCACGAAGTTTGAGTTTACAAGTTTTATTTATTTATTGCTCCATAAAAAAATTCAATCTTTAATATTACAAATCAGTACGCGCAAACATTTACAAAAATGTCAATAAACTTTAAAGGCGCGATAAATGATACATATATATATTATTTTTTTTTGTAAAAAAAGTCTTAAATAAATAATAACGGGTTTCTCTTCTGTCAAATGCAGTTATATGGTAGGTCAAGTGTAAAAATAAGTTATCACATAACACATATTTTTAGCGCGTAAGTCATAAGCTACTAAAGTAAAAATATCCACGCATATAATATGTTTCTAACCGATGTATTTTATTTTCTGTTCTCATAAGAAGAAGAATGTTTATATTTAAAATATATTGCAGTTATCAAGAGCAAAAGTACACGGTCTGTTTTGCTATTAGAGGACTGTATCAAACAAATAAGAAGAGTACTATTATAATAACACTAAGAATAAATTATATTATTAATAAGATCATTTTAATCAATATTTGATTATTTTTCTGATAAAGGACTATGAGATATGATCTAAAAGTTTTCTCAAAATATAAATATTTTTTTAAACTTATTAAAACAATTCATAATAACAGTTACCTACATTATGGTCGATAATTTCATTTTTTTTTGTCGATTAATTTACGGTTGCTTTACTTGAGATAAAAATCAATGGTTTATTAAAGTCGAGTTTTGGCTTTAAAAAAAAAAAATAATAAAGCATTACACATGAGCTGAAGTTCTTTGTTGTCTTATCTCTGGGGAAACATTTTTTTTCCAAATGCCAAAAGTCAATAACTCATTTAGGTCAATGAGCTGTCCAAAATTTCAACCATTTTCGGCGATGCGATTAATGAAGACAATCTCTGGGCGGTTTTTTCTTTTTCTGTACATTAGCGAGGAACAGTCCCTACAAAGTCGCTTCATTTACTCGGCCAAATAAATGTACACTGCAATGTAGTACATTGTACGTTGAACTGCGTTTAATGTAAATTATAATAATATAAGTAATTTGGAAGACAAACAAGTCGTGTTCTCGTTTTGGCAACGAGCAACTTGAACGTTATCACTGTCGACAATCGCATCTCCGCGTTCGACCGGATTAGTTTCCCAAATCGAGTGTCAAAAATACTCTCTAAAACGAAGTGTCATATAATATAGATATATTACTTTACAGCCACTCTATAAGAGGAATAATCACCGTTTGGCTTTTTCACATTAAGTAACTTTGGTCGTCGTGGACGGACAAAATCTCTTCAGGAACGCCTTTCGCAGTTCGTTAATACCTATTGAGCGTTTCCAATCGCATTCGAAATATTGTTCGAAATTGCCCAGTCGGCACTTTTAATAATTTTCATTAACCAGTTAACTACGTTATTAAAGTAATGGAAATTATATCAAACACAATCGGGCTACAAAATCAAAATAATATAAGTAAAATATATAATGTTTGAAAATTTGAAGACTTTAATTTGTATGTGCAAATCTAAGCCTAAAGAAATGATTGAGCCAGTCTAAATTTACTCTCTAGAAGAACTTAAGTAAAAAAATAATACAATAGCTGAGACATATAATGAGAAAAGAAGAAAAAGATACAACTCAGTACTTGAATGGTAACCACGGGGAAAACGCTTAATGGTAGACTAAGAAAAAGGCGGTCGACGTGTTTGAAAATACCTAAAGCCCTTGGAAGTAGCTTAATAGAAAAGGGGGTTCAAAACGGAGATATTATGAAATTTATGATATTGGTTTAAATTCTAAAATAGTTGACACGTTGTGGTAACACACAGTTACGTTATCTTAATTTAAAGTTACTTTTACAGAGAGTCAGTGCCACTGAAATAAAATCAAAATAAAGTTGTTGTTTTTTTTTTAGATCATTCTACAAAATATTAGCACCAGATAGCAAAAACACGGTAACATAAGCTATTTGATGCACGTAAAGAATTAAATTTGTTCTAGCGATCGCATTTTAAAAGATCAATTTTTACTTTGTGCTTAAATATATCATTTGGAATCTAGCGAGAATAAATGCATTTAGATTGTAACGACAACTAAAGCATAATGAATACACAAAATCTGCGCTGCAGATGTCATACGCAGAATTTATCTCATCACATTTTGAAGTTTATAATATGAACGATTCATTTTAGTCGAGAAAATCATTTGATGAAACCACGGACTATTGTTGTTGTATCTGATGTAGATATACACATTTGCGTATGAGCTGTAAAACATATTATGTGTTAAAAGCAGTAAAGTATGTCGATTTCGGTTAGCGAAATAAGCTTTCGTTAGAAACTAATTTTGATTTCCGAGACTATTTTGTCAAGCATGGGCAAATACGTCATTTTCCACTCTGGCACGTCTGGCACTATTGCGTTCTCTTTTGAGACATATGTGCATATAATATAGTAGCACCGCGCATTAGTAGCACCGCGCGATAAAACGTTTTTGTAGTATTTTTGGCAACGCTACCGATTAGGTTGACGGCGGTGGCCAAAATTTAATTTTACCCTTAAAAATTCAACCGTATGCTCACCGAAGTGAGTAGTTCATAAATCTTTTAAGCGATGTCGCAATGAGTACAATTAGGTTTTTAAATGTTGAACAAGTATTTGCTGCGCACTTCGAACGCGTTACCTACATTACGACACATATCCTCTACTGTTCTCCAACCGAGAACAGCTAATTTCGCTTACGATGAACCGCTTTCCCAAGTATATTCTGATAAATGAAAAACAGCTTCTACGAGGGGAAATCGTTTGATAAGAGAAGAATTCTGAAAACTTAAATATATCCTACGTTGCTCACTTTAATACTGTAATCATATCACTTATATGTATGCCATTTTCAAAATAAAATTAAGTTCATTAAATTCAAGAAAATGTTTTTTTATTTTTCAATAAAGTTCATGCAGTTATTATGGTAAGAATAGTACGCAATATACTACGCATCGTCGCTCACTTAAATATGACAATATTGTAATGGTCAATCGCAACAGCACACGATTTTTCAAATTTTAATTAATTTTCTAAATCTGATTATTTACCTTTTTTGTAACTTAAGTATTCACTTTATTTGTTTTATGTGAGTACATTGATGGTTAGCGAATAAGGCAAAAAAACTCAATGTTATTGATGGGTTTAAATTTTAGTATCAAAAAAAGTTTAAAAATAGCGATGTACAGTGATGAACTTTTATGATAGTAATTATGATCACTATCATAAAAATAATAGCGAACAAATATTAAATCACCAACGATATATTAATTCGCTTAAAAAAAAAACAGCGTAAGATATATCTGAACGGCCAAATAAAATTGACCACAGCAATCTAATCATTCACAAAAGACCTCACATGCACTAAAAATAATTTGCATTATTTGGCACCACATTTTGTACCGATATCAAGGTAGAATGCCATGAACATTATATTAAACTAAACTATAACATACTATATGAAAAAAAAGTTTGACTGACAGGGAGTTTTTGTCGGCGTTTTAAACATGTACCCTTATGTGGTTTATTAAAAACTATTTCTTCATCGGTGCGCACGAGATGCGCCAAAAATCACCATCACGATGTTAGAAGATAAGGTCGGACCTTTACCGCAGCAAGACGTCCCCTTAGATAGGACATTGTACACAAAATTATTGGAAGCACTACCAGTCCAACGCTTAGTGTTTTTTGGTTAGTGTTACAAAACTTTTGTGTATGATGATTAATTAAAAAATTTGAACCGTTCAACTGAAATGTCCTCTCACACTGACCGTTTCGGATGTGTAGAATCATCAGAAGGGAGGTTTCCAAAACTTATACAGGCATATCGATCGCACCAATATCGGTTCACAGGTGTGGGTGTGTGCGTGCGAGTGTGTGTATGCATTGTATTTTTTTCGATTTGTTTCCGCAAGTAGTAAATAACTAGCGGAGAAAACGGGAAAAAGACAAACAAATATCGTGACCCGGAAACGAAAATGATAATAAAAATAACTGAACAGCGGACAATAACGTTGGCACGAAACTCTCTGGTTTTGTATTACGACCGTGGTGCCGCGAGGTAAGGGAATGCCCCCATAAATATACGATATAAAGTGAAATAAACTCGGCGGCCCTGTTGTCGCGTAGGCCTCATTTCGGTAGAGAGGCGAAATAAGAAGTTGGAAAACTCCACCCCAGATGTTTTTTCGTTTAAACAAAGTCTTCAGAAATATCGTCGGAGCACCTATATTCTGCCGGCAACAACATTCTCTTTGGACCCGTTGTTATAGACTCGTGCCCTTCGATTTAACAACACCGACCGTACACCACTGATCTCGATCATAATCTTCCATCGATCCTACATGGAATTGTACAGGATTAATAATAATGGCGGCGGCGAACGGATTCCCGTTGCACCCGGCAAAACAAACGTACAGAAACTAGTGTTGGCTCCGAATTCAATTCCTAGTTGCATAATAACTGTAATTGTGTACACAGGAACACAATTTTCAAACAGATTTTATCAATTACAGTGGTCAATACAAATTTTCTCATATTATTTTATAATATAATATTCATATTTGCCTTCTGCAGCCACCAGATTTAGATCAAATCTAAAGCCTTTTATTTTCGCCTTCCCTTTGTCTTTCTATTTTATTGTAAATCCATTTCCATAACCATTCTACTTCTCATTTCACCTCTTAGCAAACCAAATCACCTCACTTCATTCTCTAGCCTTTTCTATTATAGATCATGCTTAAGCTTTCTGTTATGTATTGATTTCTTTATTTTACCTTCTTAGTTATTCTAATCAATCAGCTCGACATCCTCGTC